GTTTTTCCAGGGGGAAAGTCGACTTTCGCCAAAATCGAATTTTTTAGCCGGGTGAACGTTGATTCCAACTATTTAAGCGATGGGTTATTCAGAACTCTCAAAAGTATCCTATCGTAAAAAGGAGAAAAGAAATCGATCCCGAAATATCTCGAATAATCGTAAGCGTAAGACTGAAACCGAAGCGCCACTACGTGAGATGAGAAACCGCGTGCGCAGCACGCGCGGCCGCTCTCGTCATCATCAAAAATTTTGATAAATATAAAACATCTCTGAACAGCGGGAATTTCATGTTTTACGACAGCCCGTTTTGCCCCAGTAATTTTAAAGATACTCCGGGAATAAGTTTGATCGAGTGAAAAGTCCTTCCTCTCAAGACCTACTGAACCGAAATGAATCGACGTCCCCGATAGAATGGAATTTCCCGGTCTCTTGGATGGAACCACCTGAACCCTCCAATCTCACCAAGTTCCGAGAAATGAAGAAGAATTCCTGGTGAAATCGTCGCGAACTAACCAAACGTGAAATAAGTCGCACTCTCTGCATATTTCTGCACATTCAGGCATCTTCATAATGGACAATTCCAAGAGGAAACGTAATATCGGAGAATTTTTCCTCTTGGAATTGCATTCATCCACGAGTCTGTTGATATTTTTTCCTAGAAACACTGATTTTTCGAATAAATGCCCAATTCGGTTTTCCAGGAAATTCCCCTCCACGGGGAGAAAAATCATTCCCTAAGATAAATTGTTTATTTTAACTGAATAACAATTAACAAATAACAATTTTGTCCTTTTATTCGCGTTTTTGCTCACATTGAATAGTTTTTTTTTAATGAAAAAAAATGTTTCTTGGATTCTAATAGAGAATTTATTTCGAATGAATGAATTATTTATTTCATTCGGTTGAAATTATTTCATTAAAATAAATGAGTTTATTAATTTACAGCGGAAATGTTGTTAAAATGGATGGAAAAATTTCGAATGGAGAGTTTTATTTCGTTGAAATGTGTCAGAATTTAATACAATAACTCTCATTTTTTATTACGAAAAGTCGTGAAGAATGGGAATTTCGGGACTTTCTCAAGCTACTGACAATCCTAGTCATCACTAAATTGGTAGCGGTGCCTTTTATCAAACATATTCAATTAATCAACTATCGGACGCGGGACCACCCAGAGGCCGGAATCTCTCGAGCGTCGATATAAAAAACTCGTGTTAGCACCTCACACAGGTGGCGAAATATGTAAATTTCTATCGTTCATAATTGATCAGCTCGATATGCCGATGATACTGTCCCCTCCGGCGATGCACGAGTAGACGTAGAGTGAAAAATTATAATGAAATTTCTAAAACTCGAATTTTCCATGACATTTTGGGATTCCCACAAAATGGATCATGACTAATCCTAGGGAGTGTTTTCTAAAAAATTCTGTGATTTTATTTAGAGTTATGCCCGAAAGAATTTCAGGGAAAATCCTAGGGAATTATTTTTTAATTGAAAATGTCCAATAGAAATTATTTTATAGAAAAAATCATTAGAATTTTCTTTTTCTACATTCAGGTAAATTAATTCTTGAATTGCTATTTAATCGAAAATCCAGAGTAATTTGGTATATTAATGTTTTGATTGAAAATCGAACAAATCACCTCGATCTACAGCTAATTTCCCCATTGTATTTTTTCTTTGCAACAAATAGATAATATTCAGGTGAAAAAATATCCTCTCAGGAGGCACTTCAATTCCCGCTTCAATCTTCTCGGTTGGCTAATCAACTCACCGTATTCAGCATCATGGTCGGTATATTTTCCCGGTGGATAATCCCCAGGAGACACTCCGGAAATGCTCCGTCGATTACGGCGACATCCCAACGCTCCGGAGCATCCTCCGAGGAAAATTCGGGCCTCCTCAGTCCGGCAATTGAACTCTCATCTCTCAATAGCGCTTCGCAAGACTCCCAACCGTATCGCATTGCATCCCACGGTGAAAGTGGCAACTCGTTTCTGTATCGCGCGCCAACGAGATCCCATTCTGACGTGTAGTTGCCGATGTAAGCCTTTTAGAACATCGTAAATATTTTATTTCAACAGTATTTGCATTTGTCGAGAGAGAATAAATACCGTTTTGTGGATATTGCGGGAGATATTTGAGGAGTGAAGGACCCGATTCTTCACTCTTGGAAATTCGTGGAGAAAAATTTTTATTAACACTTGCCCCCAAATTTCTGCAATCGCGAATAAATTAATACTAAAAAATTAATTGATTGAATAGAAGAATATTGTTGCCCTATTTTTGTTGAATTTTTACTCAACAAGTTGTGATTTTTATTAGAATTATTATATTTTTAAATTCCAGTGCAAAATTAAATATAAAAAAAAATTAACGAATTTGACGTTTAAATTGAACAGAATTTTTTAAAAATCTTTATCATGAAAATTCAATTATTCTTCGTGACTTCAGAAAATTGACCAGTGAACTAGATGTTTCTCCTCCCGCAGCACTCGTCATTACCCTCACAACTTTTAACAATCCCCGAGTTCCTCAAGAACGAGCGGGAAGGATTCTTCCGCAAAACTATCCCATCTCCTAAAAACTTGGCATTTCCGATGTTTCGGGATCTAGGCAGTTGAAAATTTCGAAAAATTTTCTCATGTAGTTTCGCCATTTTATTAGAATTAAGAGAGTTTACACGCACGAAAAAAAAATCCTAGGAAAACCTAGCGAATTCTGCAGAAAATTCTATTGAACTTTGACTTTCTTCTATCGCCGATTCTAATAAAAAATCCGCAGCTTCACTGTTCTTTTTCCTGCAAAAAAATTCCGATAAACAAATCAGCAGAATTTCATTTATCCCCAACACGATTTTTCCAAGTTTTTCGACTCTATTTTTTCCCTTTTTTCATTAAGAAGAATATCAAACAAAAAACGCAGAACATTTGAGCCGAGAACTTTCCGTGAAAAATATTTGAAAAGCTCAAGTTCTCCAGAAAAATTGAGAGCTCTTAATTTTTCTTAAGAAAATTTTCCGTTACGAATTTCCGCTGGAAAACGCTTCCATTGAATTTCAGTTGAAACCCCCAAGAATTTCCTCTCGAATCTGCTGTGATTAAAAAAGACTAAAATTCTCGGGCATTCCCCCTCCCCTCCCGCCAATCCAATACCCCATTCCATTCACAAATATCTGATCCCGACATTCACTTAACTGATCGAAAAAGCCCCGTCGGAAATTAATTGAAAAAACCACCTCAAGAATGGAAGGCACCAGCTCCCGCAGTCCATTGTTGGCCGCTGGCCCGGGAAAAGCACTGACAAGAGTGACATTGTGTCCTCGCACCCTCAAAGCTGTCCCAAGCGCAACAAATGGCACAGTGTGCGACTTGGTACCGCCCATAGTAGCCAAAAGTACATTGTAACCACTGGTGAAACCAGTGACAGAGCACAGGATGATCATCAGATCCATCAACATTTTGTTTCTCTCGACAAACAGATGCCCTCCAAAGTCTCCACCGATACAACTCGCAAGTACTCTGGGGCTCCAGCCACTGATGACCGATAATTTATAGCATTCGATCACAACGAGACGTAGACTTCGTCCTCTTGCAAAGGCTTTTCAGTGATTTACCTCCGATTTTTGTTATGCTAAATAATCCCTTGTCATGCTAAATTAACGAATTATCATGGCATTTTTCATCGCATCGTGATTCCATTGAATAGACATGAACAAACTTCACTAATTCATGGTTATTTAAACTTTAGACTCACTCCAGTTTTTTACTATCTCATTTTTCATTTATTTCGTTCCACCTAGTTATTCATTTATTCTAGTAATTTCGTGGATTTAAATAATAATGTACAGTGATGATCACAATTACTCCACATTTCACGATAGATTCGTTTCACGGTTAAAAACACTTACAAATCCCCACTCATGGATTATTTATTGTAGTAAAATATACATTTTTTAAAATATTTTTAAGCTCTGGTATTACTTTAGGTCGTTCGTCGATTCTGTCGGCTTTTAATTTCGTCCGCTCGACTCGACTTATTTCATATGTTTTATTGGTGATTTGGGCGATAGACTTTGGCGAGGAGGAAATGAGGAAAATTCAGCGCGCGAGAGTTTTGCTTTGAAATATTCACGCGGAGCGTGAAAGTTTGACTGACCACTAGTCGACAATCATTGGGCCCCCGAGGAGAGACAGAGAGAGTTTTGCCTCCCACTTTTTTGGCTCTTTTTTTTTACTCTCTGGGGAAGGGGGTTTATCTCAATCGTTTCATTTTCACGAGCAGGTGAACTACGGCCGAGGGACTCTGTCTCTTATTGCCGTAGAAAACAAACGATTTTCGAGGGAATTGTGAAAAAGAAAGTGAATCATTCGGGGGAATAAAAATTGTTTATGGGGAGGGGGGGGGGCGGATGTGAAAGAAGAAATTACGGGAGAAAGGATATTGGTGTGATTGCTTTTCTCGGATGGCGGGTTGCATCTCGAGACGAGTGCAGGTTTCGGTTTGTCGTGGGTGAGGATTCAGTTTCGCCGTTTCAACGACAAAATACCAATTTTTTCCACCACTTCATCCACGAGAATTCGTAATTGAACTAGTTTCTTCGGAAATATTCCAGAAAAATCTGAAGTCTATTGTTGATGATTCAAAGTTAACAGAATGTCTGTAAATAATTCATTCGCATTTTTATAACGACAAAAAAATTGTGGAATTCCATCGAAAATTGTTTTACAAGTGGAATTCACAATTTTTGTAAATTTTGTCAGCAAATTTTGAATTTTCAATGGCGGAATTTCACTCGATAGAAGTTTTCGTGTTTGATGACATTTCGAATTTCCATAGGAATTCCTCATTTTTGAACAGCAGAAAGATAAAAATTCCCCAAGTGAAATTCAGAATTTTCGTTATTTTTTTCAAATTTAATTTTTTGCGAAAATTTAAATCCCGTTAAAATTGAATGCAATTAAATTTTCATTCTATTGGACAATCAAGAGTACTTACCTGATTTTCCGCGATTTTAGTTAATTCTCATTGAATAATTGAACAGAAAATTACAGTTGTCGTTAATTTTTCCATCGAATCATGATTTTTGAGTGATTTTAAATTCCTGAAAATTTTGATTATCAATTGTTAAAATGTTAAAATGACTGCATTATTAAATATTCACTAAACAATTATGATTCGTCCCACTTGCTCCCTCAGCGACTAATGTGGAAAGCGATCCTTCAAAAGATCCGCAACATAGAAATGAAGAAAGTGAAACAGTAAATAACGCAATTGATTATTATTTCGTAGGCTCACGATAATTTCGTTTATATCGTTGCACAATGGCAACAAATGTATTCTGTACCTGCGTAAAATACTAATTAACGGTATTTGCAAAAGCGAAAATAGGGATTGGAATGACAAACGAGTTACGGCGATGGAGACAGTGGACTGTAAAGACTGGTAGTTGGATCTATATAGAGTAAACACCTGGTGTGACTGAGTGAAATTGCGGACATCTCGGTGGAGTGGCAGCGATACCTCTCGTAATAATGCCGGATGGTCAAACACGGTGTACCGTTATATTTTCGCATGATTGAGCGATGGACAGTCCGCCCACAATTCTGTATTCAAGTGATGAATCAGTCAGTGATGAATGTGGATTTGACGTTTTCGTCATTTTTCTAAATTTATCTTTTTTTTTGCAGAGAAAAAATGTTTATCGTTTCAAATTTCGAATTCCGTTGAAGAAAATTCCCTTCTTTACCTGAATTTTTATTCAACTTGACTGATTTTCAATTATTTATGTCAAATGTGAATAATTAGAAGAAAATTTACAGTTTTTAGGGAATTTTTCATTGAATTGTGAATTTTTAATTGCAAAATTCCTTGAATTTCACTGAAATTGAAACTTGCCTTTGATTTTATCAGAAAATTCGGGGCTTTCAAGATGAAATTCATCGCCATTTCAGTAATTTTTTTTGTCACCGTAATTATCTCGACCTTTGACGTGGAAGAGCAAATTCCCTGCAGAAAAGATCCTTTGATATTTTTTCGTGGAACCTCTCATTACAGAGATAATCAACGATTGAAAAAAAAAGTCAATTTTTTTCGTTATTCCCCTCAACTTAACACGGAAATTAGTGAGTTTAGGAAAAACATCAAAGGATCTTTTCTATAGAAAAGGAAATTTCCGATGGAAAATGTCTCATAATTTTTTCTCGCAGAGCCACTCATTACCGGGATAATTGGGTATTTAATGAATCAAAATTAAATTCCCGACGTTTACCACTTGACTACTGTACCATAACGTCTCTCAGAACCTATTGACTTTATTCACAGCAGTAAAACTTTATCATTATTAAATGAATCCACATCTGAGAGACTGGAAGACCTGATGACGCGATGATACTCATGGTTTTCGATGTTATTCTATTATTCACATTCGGAACATCGTTCGCAATCAAAGAACACTCATTCCGCTTCATAATTTCCACAGATGTCATCAAAATGACAAGAAAATTTTCCTCTAGATAAAGAACGACTCGCTTTGGCCCAGAAGTTCCCGAAAAATTACAAAAATAAATTATCTCGAATAAAAGGCTTTTCATCTGTTTTCTTTTAAACCGCTGGGGCAAAACGGGCCCTTTTTTTGTCATTCTGCAGAAAACTACGTGCACGAGGAATTCATTGAAAAACCTAGCGAATTCGATAGAAAATTCTATTATTTTCGAATTTTCCAAGTTTTTTCAGATTTATTTTTTTTATATTTTTTTTTATTAAATCCTCGATGTAAATTTTCCAGGTTTTTAAAATTATTTATCTTTCTCTTCGTTGGAAAAATCAAACAAAAAAAACTTGGAAAACTCGTTTTGAAGAATTTTTTATCTAGATTTTTCAATGAATTATTTTCGTACATGAGAACTCGTGACGTTCTCAATTAATTTTAATCTTCATCGTTAACAACTGCTGACAATCGTGAGTTCAATTTCTCTCGATTCTGGTTGTCAAAACGATACCAGTCGTTTGACTGCTCATGGCTGCCTTACTCCTGCTGCCCCTGACCTCCTTGATACCCAGTAATTTTTTCACCGACTGGGAAAACTGGGCATTCAAACCGGCGTAAATAATTGGATTATAACATATCGATGATTTAGCAAGTAGACTTGGTAATACACCGAGGAGAGGTGATGGCTGGAACTGAAATATACCGATCGGTTAACAGAATTGAGTGATGAATGGGGTTGTAACTCAATTTCATTGTAATTGACTTACGTAGAAATATTGAGCTGCTAGCGCTAGTATTGCGTACGGTGTCCAGGCAATGAGAAATGCTGTAATCATTAGTGCAACCATTTTCGTCACTTTTACTTCACGTCTTCGTGTACCACCTGGGAGGGAAAATTAATATTAATGGAATGGTTTAAGGACAGTCGAGTAATTCTCGCAGTTTCGGACGGAAATATATCGACGAAATTATGCGTTTGAAAGAGTTACGCGATTTTTATATTTATTTCGACAATTTTTTCGATGAAAAAAAATTAAATTTAATTATTCGTTACATCAGGTTCGATTAAGGGAGGGGGGGATGATGAAATTATTAATTTGTTATCAGCAAAAAGACGAGAGTGCCTCGAAGTCTTTGCATTATCAAACAAAACATGAATTTTTACGACAGAATTTTCCATTGATTAAAGTCCAAAAAAAATTTCACCTGAATTTTCCTGATTTCTGTCAATTTTGATGAAATTCCAGTCGTTTGGGAATTTTTATCAATTGATAAAAATTCCGAAGAACCGCAACGAAAATTTTCAACATTCCACATGATTATAAATTCACTAACAACCCTATCATCAATTGATTGAATATAAATGCAATTTCCCACGTAAAGAAATTGTTTTTTCTTTCAGCGGAAAATTTAAAAAATCTTCCAGCAACTAAATTTACTTTCTAGAATTGCTAGGATTAAATGTGACTTTATTAATCTGTAATTGAAATTCAACCCATATTATCTATTTTTCATTACAATGAATATCGGATTCACGAAAAATTCTCGAATTACACGGGGAGAAGAATCCAATAAAAATGACAGGGTAGTGGTTCTGTGCACCCCCGAGCATCCGAACCGTTTTTATTTTTACTCTGTTTGGATTATTGGAGTGCATCGAGTGGGCCACAATGTGAAATGCATGCGACATTCACCGAGTGCATTTGGTAAATGACGAAATGTCATAGAATTGGTGGATTTTTCGGATTCAGTTGTGTTTTCATTTAGCGTTTCTGGTGAATGATTTTAAAGTCGTAGAAACATGACTTTAATTTTGAAAATTAAAATCCTAAATAAATTTGAATCAAAAGTCATTTTTAATAAAAACATTTTGATTGACTTTGTGATAAATCGGCAGTCTATTAATAATATTATTTACGATAATAATATTATCAATAATATTATTAATTTTTATTATTATTTACAATATTATTAATAATATATTGTAATAATAATAATAATTCAACTGTTATTGATAATAATTAATCTAGAAGTGAAAAAATAACACAAAGTCTCGCGAGACTCAGTTATTGCCAGTTCTTGCCACCCACAAGTAAAATTTAGAATATAAACTTCGAAAAATGACATTTCTCCCGGAAAAAAAGTCCATTTACGTGAATATTCACTACTGAATGGTCCATTGAAACGGCTATATCTGTAAATCAAGCGAGGAAAAAGGATTCTTGCGGTTGTGTCAAAATCTAGGACGAACGAAGTTTACACTGCCTGAGATTTTCTGCAGTTTCCCTTTGTGGTAAAAGTCAACTTCCGTGGAGTACCGAACAATGTGATGAAAACCAGAGGGTAAATCAGGTGAATTTATAAAAATAACGTGGTATGAATAATTTTTTTAAATTTATTTATTCGTCCCATATCCTTGAGATTTTCACATGATTTGAGTTGATGAATCTTATTCTTTCAATTATTCAGTCATTCTACATTATTTTCTATTTCAATCGTATTATTTATTATTATTATAACTCTTTTACATATTTTATCTTCACGCGTAAATGAATCATAGAAAAACCTAGCAAATCAGATAGAAAATTCTAAATATTATTTTATAGAAAAAACTAAGAAAATTTCATCTTTCACAATTTTTTCCCTTCAGACATTTTCTCTCGGAATTCCTTGATATAAATTTTCAATTTTTTTTCACCCTAGTTTTCTTCTCTTTTCAATTAAAAAAGATGAACAAAAAATCTTGAAAAATTTGCGGTGGCATTTCTATACAAATTATATCAATAGAATAAGTTGTACAGAAAAATTGATTTCTCTCGTTTTTTCAATGAAAATTCGGGGCGAAAACAAACCCGCAGATTAGCTGCGGATTTTTTTTCCACGGGTTCATGTCTTATTTCATTGTTCAACATTTATTTTTTATTCAACACTTCAATTTCAAGGCAAATAAAATGGAGAGTCTACTCCTACCATAAACAAATGTTTAGCCTGCAGTATTTTCCAACGGCAATCGTCAATTTGCCAACAAAGGGAATTAAGAATGAAGTTTACACGTGATTGCCACGGGGATTCTGCTGTATTTTTCTCTCCGCGTGCTTCATACAAAATTTCTTCGTACCGGATTGTAAAAAATCTCTTCCTGGTATTTACCGAGTGAACCTTGAATGGTTGATGAAACGTGGACAATAGAAAAAACAGTGGAGTGAAATCGAGATAACTCGGAACTCTCGAATGGAAAATGTTAAGTTCGTAAATTCGTCGGATGATTGATTGAATTTCGGCTGTCGGCTGTCGGTCGTTAGAAACGTTAGGACTCTGTTCAATCTGATGCTAGAGTCCGGGGGTATTAATCACGATTTTTCCTCGTGTGCTCTCGGAAGTGGAGGATTACTTTTTTCTGTAGCTCCATGTTTTTATACTTCCGAGTAGCCATGTGATGCCAATTTCAACAAATCCAAGTGCTCAAACACAAAATAAAATCCGTAGAAAAACCTCGAAATCGATAGAAAATTCTATTGAATTTCTATTAGATTTTGGTTGACAAATTAAAAAATTCAATTGTTTTTGTTTTTGCAGTAAATGCCTAACGAGAATTCTGTTACAGAATCTACAGAATATTTTTTATTGAACATTTTCATCGAAAAATAATGTGCAAATGAGCCAAAAAGTGATAGAAAATTCAATAGAAATCCAATAGAATTGACAGTGAAATATAGTAAAATGATTTGCCACAATTTTCTAAGTAATTTTTATCCAACTTATCTCTCCGTGTGAGGAATTCGCTAGGGTTTTCATTCAAATTTTGACGCACATGATTGATTGGATTTCGGTGGCGTTAATCGTCGGGAATTTCAGAATTCTTTGGTCAAAGAGGAATGAGACAGTCGTGTCCGTGAGGCGCCCTCAGGCATTCGCAAAGACTTATTCGTTCACATTCGCTCAAAAGTGGAAGATTACTTTTTTGACAGTATCCCCCAATGCTCTTCATATTCCAGAATACTCGTGTGAGATTATCTGAACCGAAGTTGAGTGCATATGCTCCAAAAATCCTCACAACATAATAATTCGAAACTACCGACCCGAACATTTGCTCCCGACATCTGCCCAGAACGAGTTGAGACTCAACAATGACGAGACGTGAAAGGAATTTCCATGTCCCAATAACAAACTTTATTGCAGTATTTTTTAGTCGTTATGTTCACCGTGTAATATTCATGTTCCTCGTGGGGACAACAATTCTTCACCATTACCTGAGCATTCGAGAAATTCACAGCGGATTGCAAGAGCAAATAGAGAAAGAAAGAAAGCATTTCGAAATTGCGAGAATTTTCGTACAAAAGTGAGAGAGATTTCACGTGTGAAAAAATTTAATAGAATGGCCAAGTGCTTTCTTCGAGGAATTATTGAATTACTATTGAAGTTCTGTTAGAATTCTCTTTGAAAAATCCATTTGTTTTTTGCGTCAATTCTATTAAAGATTTACATTTTGTTAAGAGATATTTTCGAGAAAAAAATCAACAGATTTCCATAATTTTCAACATAATTGACGCAAAAAACAGATTTTTTAAAATAGAATTCCACATAGAATCTCTCCGAGAAAGCGCTTTATGTTTTCATTAAATTTTGTTATACATTCTGGACATTAATGAAAAAAGCGTAATTACCTGTGCGTTTTTTAACTTTCTTCAGTGTCGAAATAATGCCGAAGTAACTAGCCGATATCAAAATAACAGGTACAATCATTCCGAAAAAAAATAGGAATGCAATGTATGTATCACTGTGCGTTGCCGGATTGTGCACCTCCCAGGAGACACTGCATGATACATTACCCGGCTCATATCCGTAACTGCCCCATCCGAAGAAGGGTGGCAAACTGAGACTGACAGCGTACACCCACACGATGCCACTCAGTACCATAGCAGTTCTGGAAAAATATATGAGCAGGTCGTTGTCCAGGGGGTATTTATCATTGACATGGGGTTGTGAAGTGGTGGAACGAAATGAATGAATTTCTGTTGGAAATCGATTTTTTCAAAATTCATCGTTCTTCTTTTAAAAATTATGGAAAAACCCAACAAATTCGCTGAATTATTCTATAGAATTTCTATTAGTTTTTGACGTTTTTTTTCAATAGAAATATTAAATGGAAATTATTATTCAAAAAAATAAATAGAATACGCCTTCTCTATAGAAATTCCACTACTCATTTTTTTTTCTATTTTTTATTATTAAACGAGAAAAAATAGTGTAAAAAATTTATAAAATTCATGTCACGGAATTTTTATTGAAAATGTCCAATTGAGATAACTCTGGAAAAAATTTGCTGGGGTTTACAACTCGGGCTTTCAGTTGAAAACCCGAGTTGAAGACCCGAGTTTGTAGCAGCGATGTCAGATAAGATATGAATGTTTTTTTGGGCTCAAACGAAAGAGCGGGTCGAGAAATGGCGTGCTAGGACCTCTAAAGATGGTTTTGAACCAGGGGAGACTCCTAGACGCCAACGTTCTATACATACTCCTAGACCCCATTGTCCTCCTAGACAATGATGTCACAACTCTGCTGTTCAATTGAAAACAGACATCATCTTTAGAGACATTTGTCATGTTTAGAGGCTCTGGCACGTCATTTCTCGACCCACTCTTTCATTTGAGCCCAAATAAACATTCATATCTTATCTGACATCGCTGCTACAAACTCGGGTTTACAACTCGGGCTTTTAGTTGAAATTGGAATTGTTAATTTACACAATAATAGGAGTGCATTGACGATTTTTTCTTAACTCGCAAAAATCTTCAAACAATTTACTACCGATTGGTGATAAAATTTTTTGGAAATAATGAAATAGGGGGGATAACGCCTTTTTTTTCAGGGGTGATTTTTCAAAAATTTATTTTAAAAAAAGTAGTAACTAGCAAATGTTTTTTATTAGCTCGCAATTTTCTTCAAAACTACTTCAATGAGCAAAAAAATAAAAATTGGGTATATCTATACATGAGGGGCTAATTGATCGGATCTCAGTTTACTTTAACAAAATATCACCCACTTGATGCTCACACTGAACATTGGTCTGACCACGAACAGATATCTCTCGAGTGCCATCATCGTGAGATTTCCGATGCTGGCGAAGCCCAGTGTAGACATGATCCAGGCATACCTATGAAATTTCACATCACAGCAATAATTGGTAACAATAGATTCATGCAATCCAATAGCCGGATCTAATGAGCAGCAGGTGATGTTCCACGAGTATTCTGATACTGTACTTCGTGACTCAACGACTCAAGGAATGAGCGCGGAGAAAAATATTGAGAAAAAATTTCACGTATGAAAAAAAAAATTATGAAAAAACCCAAGAAATTCGGTAAAAAAATTCGATCGAGCTTTTATTGAAATTTCTATTACTTCTTGGCTGATTCTATAGAACAATTCCACAGCTTGTCTGCGGGTTTTTAACAGAAATGTTCAATGGAAAATATTCTATAGAAAAAATCAATGGACCTCCATTTTTATATACAATTGATTGAGAAAATTTCTGTAGAATTTTCTCAGATTTTTGTTTTTTTTTTCTTGTTCATTTTTATTGTGACAGGAGAAGAAAAATAGAGTGGAAAAAATTGGAAAGTTTATGTGGAGGAATTCCTGCAGAAAATATCTGGATAGAAAAATGAAATTACACGGATTTTTCAATAAAATAATTTTTTGGGACATTTTCTATTCTTCAATAGAATTCTTGAATAGAATCGGCCAGAAACTAATGGAAATGGTTTTTCGATGAAATTCTATTCGCACGAATGCAAAATTCAATTCTCCCTCGCACATTTCACTTCTCCCTCGATAAAAACAATTAGTTGGAAATGAAATAGTAATGTAATAATTTTCTATTTGGATCAAGCGATTTATTGGTGCAAATCAAGAGCTCACGGATTTCAAAAAAATACATCGTTGGAATGAATAGAAAATTTTTCATTATCAGTAATTTTTCCTCGACCTTCTCTGAATATTAATGATGACGATTTATCACAAATCCGAGGATAATTTGCGCTGGGGATGCGTGGATCAAGTATTGAACTGAATATTTACCATAGGCACGTGCTGTGGCTCCAATACCAACCGCCTTTCACCGCTGACACGAGGGCAAGGGGGTTGCCGAGGAGTGCAACCAAAAAATCACCGAACTACAAAATATCGAGAAAAACACGTCTTCTTCGTGTAAAGATATCCGAGGGGAACAGTCCCTGCAATGAAATGTGGTTCCGAAATATTACGTTTTTTGAGCTTTTTTTCATTACGAAGGACAATGAATTCCATTGGACTGTGGAATGCCGTTAAATTAATCGATTTGAGGTAATCTGAAGACTCCTAATTATTGTAATAATTTCCACAATCACGTGCGAAAAAATCTCAAAATTTTAAAAAGAACTGGGGATTTCGCTGGATAATTCTATTGAATGTCTATTAAACATTCCACTAGTTGTTGGCCAATTTTAATGAAAAATTCCGCAGCAATAGAAATGTTAACTGGAAAATATTCTATCGAAAAATGCAGAATTCGATTTTTCAATTTTTACTTTTCAGAAATTTCTGCACAAGTTATTATCATTAATTATTCAATTTATAAACGAAAAATCGTCTGTCTTGATGAAAAATGTCAACGACTGACAATTAACGTCAATCAATTATCTCATGTACGAAAATATTTTTTCTGGAATTCTATAAAAAATTATGAAGCTTTGTTCTTAAAGAAAAATATACAGATTTTTGGGATTATTTTCCAAATTTTTTTCAATTTGATTTTATCATGAGAAAAAATTAAATTTATGCCCAAGAATTTCTACAGAATTTCTTAAACAAAGCGCTAGGTTTTTCCGTGAAAAATTTGCTGTGGCATTCGCTCCCTCGAAAAAGCTCAATTATTCAGAAACCAATTAAACTCCAGGGACTGTCTCACTCAAACATCATCAATTAAACAACATTTGAATGATGATTGAAGCACAAATTTATCAAACTTGCACGCAATCACGTACCGCCAAGTTCCAAAGTATAACGTTTACCGGTGTCCAGAGATGATGGGAATCACTGATAATGATTATTACCACGAGTAGATTGAACGTAAAGCCACAAAATCCAATTGCACTTAGAATAACCGCCACCCCCGTCGCCGCCTCACTGCTCAAACTTTTTGGCATTGATATTTCGCTATCCATACTTTTGGTTTATTATAAAAATGCGTAGAAAAATATTTTTACAATTTCTTTCGGTACTTGGTGCCGCGATTTCGTGGTGCCGCGTGGAGCGCGTCTGACTGGTTCCTGTCTTTGAAAGTTTCATCCCCTTATATAGCGGCTTTTGAAGGCTTCGGGGGCGGATTTTCGTCGGCATGCGCATTTACAACGTGAAGCGCTTTTCGTTCAAATGTCCCGACTATTCGGTGAAAAGGGTGCCTCGGTGAGTGGAGCATTCAGGGGTGGAGTGGTGGAATGTACACGGGAATAAGTCGATTTTATATCTTGTTTGGGATTAAATTATCTTGACAATGAGCCGTTGCAGAGGGAATTTCAGAAGATTTTATTTTGTGGAGAGAGGATTGAGGGAACTCTGCACATCTTACTCAGTGAGGAATGTAATTGTCGAAGAATACGTGAAAGAATTTCATAGGGAAACTTTATCTGGGAATTTTGTAGGAATAATTCTTTTAATTTCTTTTGAGCCTTCCATTAGTTCTGTTTTTTTTTCCTCGATTTTTTTAAAGGGAGATAGAAGAATGATAGAGTGGAAACAACTTGGAAAAGTTATTTTGAGGAAATCTTTAACTGTTTGGGAATTTTTATCGCGTTTTCACCGATATTGCACGGGATTTCGTCGTCAAAAATTCAAATTTTTATGGAAAGAATCAATGAAAATTGGAGAAATCAGAAAAAATTGTCAATGAATTAAAAATTGAAGTAACTGGAAGAATTCTCTTTCTGCTGCTTAAAAGTTTGAAAAATAAATTCTCTTCTGACAATATAACTCTGTCATAAAAAAAATTCAATGCATTACGCTACACCCCCAACGCCTGAACTATTGATTTCCCGCAATTTGATCGGCCGGACAATCGAAAATTCCCAGAACCCTCACATCGCGTTGATGGCTCGAAAATAAAATCATCCAATCGTTACATCAAAAAGAGTTGAGCCGGTTTAACGAGATTAATGGATGATGCTTGTTATTCCTGAAACTCGTTGCTGATCAATCGTCAACGCGATTCGTTAAACTCAAAAGATCAAAAAACTCCCAACGAAAACCCCCGATCAACCCCATAAAAAAAAATAATAAAAACTCAATCTCCGCCTGATCTCTTCCAATCATCGCATTTAATCCGAAAAAACTTCTCGTGTACAGTACAATAATTATAAAAAAACCATTAACTGATAATTAATCCTCTACATGTCCTCGGTGTCGCTGTCAGAGTCCTCGGCCATGGCCTGACGAGCTTTGGCTTCAGCCTCTGTTTTAATTTCGTGTGGAATACGCTCGTGTTTGCCGTTGGTGTGGGCGCCCACCCAGCTCATCTCGAGTTCGAATTGTTTGTCCTTAAGTTCATCGTGAACGAGATAAATAATTCGTGCAGCCTCTTTGACAAGTTCCTTGCAGGTCATGTCAGCCAGCTTGAGCTTCTCAATTTCAGTTTTGGCAGATTGCTTGGCTTTTCCAACGGCACAGCCAAAGTATCCGTAGGACACACCAGACGGGTCAATCATGTACATGGCGGGGCCATTGGTCTCGTATGCCCCAAGAATTACTGAACAGCCGTAAGGTCTCACTGCTGAGTAGAGGGTGTAAGCGTGCATGTACATCGCAACTCTCTCGTTGAGATATTTCACGGGAATACCAATTCCATACTGTGCACGGTAACTGGCTGCCTCGGATCTAGCTATCTCCGCTATTTGTCTAGCGTCTGAGATCAAACCAGATACAGACATACCCACGTGCTCGTCGATGTTGAAGATTCTTTTATTTGCCCCGGGCTCGTACAGCTTTGATGTCACCAGCTTCTCCACTGCAAACACCACTCCATCTTTGCCTCGGAGGCCAATTACTGTTCTGAAAATGAGACGCGAGGTAAAGATCGAGGGGGTGTGGAGAATTGATCTACGCGGGATGATGAGCTATGGAGGTATTCAGAAATTGAGGAATTGCGTGACTATGAAAACATTCCTGGAAACAGAATGGAAATTCCACAGGTTTACTTCGCATTTTTTTATTGACAATGTCCAATTGAATTTCATTTTTGTATACGACTCCATGTATTGGAGTATTTTTTATAGGAATCAATATAAATTACTTCAACTTGTTTCACTCTATTTTTGCAGAGATCATTAAGAAAATCAAACGAGAAAACAAAAAAATTAAACTAAGGAATTTCTGTAGAAAATATCTCTGTAGAATTAATGGGATAAAAGAATTAAATTCTGCGGTTTTTTTCTATAGAATATTTTCCACTCAACATTTCTGTTGAAAAAAATGCGCATAAACCAATTCCATTCAAGAATTTCGCGGCTTCGATTTTCTAAATAAGAAAAGACACAAAGGAAAACACCCAGAAAATTCACGTTCAAGAATTCCCAGAGAAAATCTCTCAATAGAGAAAGTTGTACAGTAAAATGCAATTAAATAAAATAAAAAATTGCGAAGTAAAAGACAGATAAATCGAGGGATTTATGGGGATTAATAATGAAGGGGGAAGATAATCCGTGGGATCAAAGCCACATTTATTCAGGAATTTAGCGTTTTCGGTGCATCTATCCAACCGTAAATGCGAGGAGTGCTGGTAATTAGGTTTACTTAATTTCGGAGTGACTGATTTACTAGTTTACGAGTAGGATACGAAATTTGCTTTGAGGTTTTGTTGTTTGGGGTAATTATGGGGTATTTGATTTGGTAGTTACCCGCTGTTCTCGACTGCCTTCTGAGCGTATTCCACTTGGAATACTCGACCGTCCGGGGAGAACTGCGATGCTGAGAGGTCGTACTGTAAGAAATACAGTTTTTCTCATTTTTTTACGTACGAGAATATTTTATTTAAAATACCTTGCACATTCGCCAGGAAATTCTATTGGTTTTCTATTGAACTTTATATGCGTTTTTATAAATTTTATTGTCATGTTCAATGAAAAATATTCTATAGAAAAAATGAATGAATTTCGATTTTTATAAGCAGCTTATTCTATTGAGATATTTTCGGTACATATTTCTCAGCTTAAAATTTAAAAATTTTTTGATTTTTTTTTTATAAAAAGAGAACAAAAAGAGCTTTCAAAAAATTGAAAAATTAATCTCGAGAAATTCCTGCAGAAATCATCCCAATAGAAAAAGCTGTAAAAATTTTGTATGAAAAAATGGCATTAAATAAATTCTATAAAACAATTTGCCTTCGAAAAATTCAATAGACGTCCAATAAAATTTTCCATCAAATTCTCGTTTTTTCTAGGAATTTTTTTCAAGCGTCTCAACATTATTTTCAATTCTGACCACATCTGTTGATTTATATTTTCGATAATCACCAATTCTCATAAAATTTAACGTAATTTTACAAAAACCTCTCGTTCAAACGAATTATGAAGAGTTTTTTCAAACCCAAAACAGGTTAGCATGACAACTCTCAAATACTAATGCTTCCTTTCCAAGTTCATGCAGTTTTTCATTAAATAATAATAATGTAAATCGACTAAAATACTCACTCCAGTACCAATCGAACTCATCTTGCTCTAATAAACAACCAAAATCAGCTTTGAGTCCCAAAACACCGCGACCAGCGTGAATTAGCGAAAAATCAAACAGCCGAAAGTTGTCAGTCACTTCTGAGGTTAGAACTGCCCTCCACAAGCTTTTAAACCTCCTTAACAGATGTCCAATTCGATAAACCAAATCCCTACATTATCCCACGAATTCAAATGACAAAAGTAACACTAAACTAAAACGAATCCATTCACTACGAATTTTTTATCAGAATTCTATTAAAATTCTATTTTAAATTCTCTCAATTCTTGATAAAAATGTAATTTATTTCTTCAGCCGATTTTTACCTAAAATTTTCCAAGTATTTTTATTTTATATTTTTTTAATGGAAAGAGAAAAAAATAGAGTGGAGAAAATTTATGTCGGGGAATTTTTCGAAAAATGAGATTTTCCATAAAGAAACTAATATAATTTTCTATCACATTCGCTAGGTTTTCCCATCAATTTTTTGTCGTACACATTAAAAACAAAATTTATGAAATAAAAAAAAATATGCACAATGCTAATTTTTTACAAAATAGACCCATTAATTGTTAATGTTTTTATTGTTAAATAAACCACAAAAATGTACAGTAGTATAATATGGCTCGTCCGAGACTCGATTTTCATATTCATCTTGTTATCGTAGAACGGCCAACTCTCGTGTCAATACATTTATAATATGATGATATAATTGCTACAATTATCGTATAATGTGTAATTCATATAATTATACATACATATACATATTCATATACATGTTTCTTTCAATTTATCATATATTACATACATATATGTATGTATACGCTTCTTCATTCATTTATTTAATTTAATTTAATTTCTCCGTCCACTTAATCCCCACGTTCTCATGATTTTTTAGATTCTTCTCTTTGTTTCTCTCTTAACTGAAACGATCTTCATCATACAACGCATCTAGTACCACTCACACATCCACAAAAATCCTCGTTTACACTCAGTTATCCCATTTTAATTTTTTTATGCACCAGCGAAAGGAAATAAAATGAATTCTGTAGTTTATTTCTTCTCCATAGACTTAAGTTTTTACTGATAGTATCATTATACGTCTAGTGTTTCACATCGCTTCGTTTTCATTATCTCTTCTTAATCAAATTTTTTTTTTATATCATTGTAGTCTGCGCCATAATGACAGTGCAGTGCAATGTATTAAACAATTTTTCCTAGTATAGTACATTGACAAATCAACGTTACGAGGTTTTACACTGAAATTTATCTCTCTGACACGAGCTTTTTAGTGTCGACTCGCACTTGGTTTCAGGGGCGCCTCTTCGAGGGCTTTTAATTATACTATTTTTTTTTTTCTTTAGTTTAGTTGTCGGGGGGTGAGGATTAGATGATTGAGGGGGGAGGGGTCAATGAGAAGAGTCTATTTCACTTGAGGAGTCGTTTTCGAAGAATATCTCTGAGAGATATAGAATTTTTTAGGATTTTTTTATGAATAATTAGAGCTGCAAATGATCTTCATGAAAATTTTTGGAGTTTAAGATTTTTTTCAATAAACTTATCTCGGAAAAAACCTTTTCAAAAAGTGCGATAAAATGGCCGAAATGCGGGACAACTTTGTGCCCTGAATTCTCAGCCAAAAAGTGATGAAAAAATCTGAAGGATGACTTAAAAAAATTATTCCTCCTCTAGAACAGGATTGCAGGAGTTGGAGGTGATCTGAAGAGGATAAATAATTTTAAAAAATGTTGAAAAACACGAGGTGGTAGGTCTGTGCGCCGCCATCTTGCTTGGATACCCCTTCCCACTGTCGCGAGGGGCTTCAAAGATGGCGGCATCCCACCTCGTGTTTTTAAACATTTCTTAGAATTATTTATCGTCTCCAAATCGTCCCTCAAGTCACTTCTTCCAGTTTCTGCAAAAATGAACAAATTTTTTAAGTCATCTTTCATATTTTTCCGGCTTTTTTCGACAGAGAATTCTTGTTCTTTCGATTCGAATGAGTCAGGGCTCATTTCAAAGATATTTTTTCAGGCTTCATAATGAGAAAAAAATGCATTCTGACAACTGTAATTCTTCTCTTCAAAAAAATCCTAGATATTTTGCAATCTCCATGAAATTTTAAGACACTCAACAAAAATAATTCTTCAAGTAAAATTAGATCACCTCATCCCCCCCTCCACCGATGAATGTTTCTTAATGACATCACGAGACTCGACACCTCATGGGAATGACAATTTTAATTTACTTTTTCCTTTTTAATTTTAGAGGGAAAGCCACTGCATTAGAAAGCGCACAATTGCGTATGAGCTTCTCTCTTCTACCTGACAATTTCATAATTTGAATTTCTGGATTCAGATGTCCATTCGAATCAATCTGAATGTCTTCTCCAGTGGACCTTGCTCACTAATTACGATCGATAATGAGCATTTACGCATTCTGCATTGCGATCATACGAACGACAAACGTCGTCATGCAAATTAAAAAATTTTCTCCTCAAACTGAATGTTTCACTTCGAGTATTTTAATCAACGCGTTTGCAACAGGCACAATCGCCGAATGTACATGATTGAGATGTACCGTATAAACAATTTTTCGTATCAATATTTTTTTTTTTCTCTTTAATACAACGCTTTATATATATTTTTTTAATATTCTCTAGCTTTTTGGATTTATGAAAAAGTGAAAACTATGAAAGCGTGCTGTTTCTCGAATTACATTGCTCTCTAGAAGTGTGTAAAAACGCTCTCCGATAAATTTTTTTTCTGGGGGAAACGAAGCATTCATCCATTTCTTCGGAAATTGGGGGTTTTTTGGATTCTTCTTTATAGTGAAAGCGAGTGCCCGTGGGGTAATATGTCAAATGGTTTTAGTACTTTGAGGAAGATACGGTTTATTGAAATTAAAGGGTTGTTAGGAGTCTTGCACTCTGACTGGAAACATTACACTAATTCCACGCGAAGGAATAACAATTCTTTCTCTTTATAAAGTGTTCATTTCTTGAGAACGAGTGAGTTTAGAAGAAAATGTCAAAAGAGATTTTTTGTGGAGAATTTCATCAGCTACAAAAAATGTTCAGGGACATTTTCTCGTAAAACCCCTCGTTATTGAGATAAGTTAATGTTGATGAGGTGAAAAAAATCGAGTGGTTCTCTGAATTCTTTCAAACATTTTCCGAGGTCCAGGTCTAGTTCTCTCGTCCATTCTACGTACATGGAACACCCCGGTGTCATTTTTATTGCGTGTCAGGGTGCAAGACGCAACGTAATTCTTTTCATAGAGAATATCATTAAAATCTGCTGTTCATCCGACCATCTTCTGGGCACAACAATCATCAGCAGTGAAGTGGCAAAACAAGAGGATCAATTCACTTGTGAATTTAGTTTTCAAAAAATATCTCGGAACCTACATAAAATCAACCCACTTTCTTACCTACCTTTGAGATACCCCTTTTGCAGCTCTAATTGCGCTCTGCAAAAAAGGTCTCTTCAAAAATTTCGTTATCTCTCTCTCTTGAATATCCAAATATTCCCAGGGAATATCACCCCTCGTTACCCCCCTTCACCCCTCATATCTTCAAACTCCACTAGCAACGGACAAATGTAGAATTGGGATGTGGATGGTGTCGCAGCATAGCCTCCATCAAATCTTTAATCTGTACAGAATTTCAATTTCTTCACCTAATTTACGTAATTGCATCGTCCTTTTATCTCTCAGGTCAAACCGTTGTACAAGTTCACCCAAAAAACCCAAAAATTCGTCTAAAAAGATGAAGAAAACAGACAATTAAAGCCAAAAAAATAAAAGATAAACTAAAAAACATATTTTCGAAGATTTATTATCAGTGATAAATATTCACATGAGTCCTAAAACAAAAGAAAACATCTCCAATTCCGGTAAATTCAACTCTACCTCGAAAAATAGATGATATGTGTGAATGATGTGCCAGATTGTTCAATCGAAATGACCAAAAAAACAACGAGACACCGAGAAAATATTGCAAATTGATGAGGGATTTGATTTCATGAATTAAAGCTTCCTACGAAAAAAAAAGAGAGAAATGGAGAGAGAGAAAAAATAAAATCGCTTATAAACTTACAACTGGTGTTATTACCATTAAATTTCTCGTCAATAATTAATATTTAAATATACAAATAATTAATGTTAAAGGCATTTTATTTAAATCGATCTAATTTCCTGCTGTTCTCCACAACAGCCCCTTATATACGTCCAGAAATTGAAAAAAATGGAGAAAAAAATATAACAATTATGCGAGGCAATGATATCGCACAAATATGCTACCCACTGTGTACATCCTATCTCAGTCAGTAAAATAATCATCTCGTTTTCACTTAAATAATTTTCATTGGATTTTCATACGACAACTCTAAACGCATTATTATTAACTCTTTAATAGTTCGATTTAATGATTCTTTTACTATATATAAAAGGCCAATGGAGCATTAATCTAGGTACGACGTCTTTGTTTTTATTTTCTTCGAAAATTAATTATCCCCCAAGTTTCATCAACCTTTCACATTACAACAAAAAAAAAACGTTTTACGTGGATTAAACATAAAACACTGGACAATTAGAAAAATAATCGCGACCTCTAGATTCTCACATTTATTACAAGAGAAGAAAAATAAATCATAATAAAATAATAATTAATAATAATACACTCGACTATAACAAAGTATTAATAGCGATTTGAACGTTTGTGGAACAGCACATCAATGCCCTGGGGACGTTTAATCGATTGATGAAGGATTATATTTAAGAGGAGACTGCCATGACTTTTAAATATTTATAACAACGAAGAATGTGCAAAAAATAATAATTCCGTGCCCTCAATTTTTGAACTAGATTTTTTTCAATTTCCAAACAATGTGTAGAATAACAATTACGAATCACTTTTCCCTATTTCTCGATTTTATGCTGTCTGAAACAAATGAACAATATTATAAATATTTTTAGTGAATTTTTTCATTTAGTGAATTTGTTTTTCACTTAACAAAAATGAAATTGGCTGTTTGAAGTCGAATAAAAAAAATTTGTAATCGTTTTTCTACATTTTAATCAATTTTTCGCACTCGTTCATCGTTTTTATCCGGGACTTTAAACTCACAGTAGTCTCCCCCGAATAATCTCGATGGCCCACGCGTTCCAGTAATCAAAACGTCCAGCACCCGTTCAAGAAGCTAAATTCGATAAAAAGACGATGCAAGCGAATTCTAACTCGCTACCACACATGTTGTTTTGTTTTTTTTTCATTAAATTTTTTACGTTACATCTTTAACCAAGATTCCTTAGGATAATATAACCATCAGAGGCCTCCAGAACGAACCTGTTCTTTCTATTATATACACTGAATTCAACCCTTCGATCAAGTGCTGATATTGAGTCTGTTGGGGTAATTGGAGGCGAAACTGATCGATTGCTGTCCCGACCGCTATTCCTAGTTCATTAGGAGGTTTTTTTTAAATATCATCTCGATTACACAGTTATCGACTCAATTTAATCGCAGCTGGCATTGATCTAGGGAGTTGAGTTCAATTTACAATGGGGCATTCTCGATGCAAAATGATGAATTCTCTTGCTCTTTATTGGGATTAATTCATCGAAATGAAGTAAATTAAATTGTTGGTTTATCTTTTTGCTTTCATTGCGGCCTGCTTAGGCCATGGTCGATTGATTAGGATCGGTATTTTGTGTGACGGAGGGCGATGTCGTATTAACGTTACTATCAGTTGTATTACCACTACCACCAGCAGCTGTACTCGTTGGCTCTGCTGTCGATTGTCCCTCAGTTGTTGTCTCCGCTGTTTGCATGTATTTTGGGATTAAAATTGAATTTAAATTTGGTTGGATACGTAACTCGTGTTCAGTGAAGTTAAAGAGTGGAGGTAGTTCACGTCCACTTGGCAGGAGGGTGCCTTGTTCTCGTAGCTCGTTGAAGAATGGGTGGGCACAGGCTGCCAGGGGTGTTATTCGCAGGGGTGGAGTGTATTCCAGGAGGCGGGCTACAAGCTCCATTGCTTCTGGGGGTGTTCGGGCACGAAATACCTGGAGTTTAGACAGCTTAAATCAATTTTTTGGAGGTGGGTTGGGGGGTAGTGGAGAGGGAGGAGATCCTAGGTTATTTTTTGGGGGATGGATTGGAGAAAATCTTAATTTCATTGAATTTTCAGTGAATTCTTCAATTGCCTAAATTTTATCCTAAAAATATCCTAGATATCCTAAAATTGTTGCTGAACTCTCCTGAAATCCCAAGGAATTTCATCTTGAAAATTTAAAATTCAGTGGAAACTGGAAAAACCTGGAAAATTGAGGTGAATATATTCCTGAATTGCAAATAACTTGAAATTTCATGTATTCTGTGAAAATTCAAATGAATTGGGAAATTTTCGTCATTCTGATGTTCGAAAATTTGAAATTTCATTGAAATTTCCTCATTTTTCCCCCAAAACAAAAATTGACTCCATTCTCTGTTAAACTCCTTCGAAAATCATCCCCATAAAATTTTTCTTCTCATAAAACATTCATGAATGTGAAACCATCCAGATAATTCACGATGTTCGCTAAATGTTTAATCATCCGTTGAAATCGGTTCCACTCAATGGGATAAGGGGAATGTAAGGGTTAATCCGCAAAAAATCGCAGAGAATTTAAAAATTCCTAGGATCTCCTCAGTATCATCCATGGATACAGCTAAATCCACTCAAATAATCGCTATGGTAATGATGAAATATGCATTTTATGAGTTCAGATGAGTTCAAAGCTCAATAGCCTGGTATTCAAGTCGTTCAATTCAACATTTGAAATTTCTGGTGAACTCTCTTGGATATTTTGTTGTCATTATGTCTCATTTAAGTTCATTAGAGTAAGTGATTGTCTCTGCAAAGGCTCTCGGGTAAATCTTGCCGTGAGAATGGTGATAAAAATAATTATGATGATTTTGTTAGTCGTGTTAGACGGTATTGTCAATGGCGAGCTAGTGAAAAACTCTGGATTTTTGTTCAAAAACTTTTGGTTCATCTCGTAATTATCAAAAAAATGACGGAAATTATCAATTTAATAGTGAAATGGCAGAACATGACGCAAAATAATTTTTTTTCTTTAAATATTCTCTTGAAATTTAAGAAAAATTTATTTAAAAAATCATTGTAAAGCTGAAAAAGGGTCAGTTAATTCCAGTGCGAAATTATTTATTAGAAAATATTAAAAAATTCGAGAGGGATTGCCAAGTTGTCTTATTTTTCTAAATCTCATTCCCCTCAGAAAAAAAGAAAGAGCGAGATAATTGCAATTTTTCTCATAAATTTTGAAACAAAAAAATCTCCAATTTCATTGATTTGGAATTATCTGACCCTTTTTTCACCATTTCACCATCAAATCGACATCTGTGAGTCCGCGGTGGGGTAAAAAAATAAAAGAATAAAAAAAAGGTAAACAGAGATAGAAAAATCCGAGACAGCAATTTGCAGCACATGTTCCAAGAGAAATCACTTACTCTAATTTTTTGGTGCTTTGTGGTACACTTTGCTGAGCTCATTCGTTGGAGCATACACTGTAATCACGAGAAGAATATGCGAATAGGTTGATCGTCATACGAGAGAAAAAAAAATAGAAAAAAAAAGTAAAATTATCTGCGGTTTACGTCAAGTCTTCGGTGATGATGATTTTACAAGTGACAATGTGATCAGATATCTGCAATAGAGTGCAGGAGATGGATTTTTTCAGCGCTTTCATCAAGGGTAAGATTATGTAGGCGATCTAATAATACTCGAGAAAATATCTGGGGTATTGAGTTTCCTGGAGAAAACACGATTCAGTTTGAGTCGATTTTTCATAATTTGTTAATGAAGTATTGGATTATCTCGGTGGCGAGTAATTTTAGAGGAAAATTTTGAAAATTTCATCAACAAGAATCTAAAAATCCACGTTTTGATGAACGATTTATTACTTGGCATTTAAAAACCATTAATTAACACCAATTAATGATTGATTGGTTTCAAATCATTAATGTTTGCTGTTAAAAACAATTATCACGAGACATTTATGTTGAGAATTTGAAATTCTAACGATTTTAATCATTTAATTATAAACAACGAATGTTTAAAAAAGGATAATTCTGTGCAAAAAATTCAATTTGAATGACACTAAACGGGTAATTTCAAAGGAAATCATTAACAATCAATTCAAAAGTCATTCCCAAGATGAATTCTCCCCTAAAATCCATCTTCTCACTCCCCAAAAAAATATAAATCTAAAACAAAACAAGATATACCTTTTGCCAGGGATGTGACTTGATCTGTGGAAATTTGAACTCCGTATAATTAGGATTCATTTCCCTGATCTGATCACGTGTCGGTGTACCGAGTACTTTGATGATTTCAACAAGCTGATCGACCCCACTGTCACCAGGGAATATCGGCTGACCGAGTAACAGCTCAGCCAATACACAACCGGCGCTCCACACATCTAGAATAATCAATAATTCATGAATAAATGATCAACATTGTCATGATGAAATGAAACCCAGAGAACTGCTTTATTCAAATTTAATCAATTTTATTTTCATTTGCATCAAGTAAATTATTTTCGGAAGGAAACAAATGTTTTCCTGATGGAAATAAAGACTTTATTAATAGAAAATAAACTGGTTCGTTTGATTCTAATAGACTATTTGTCCGGAATGAATGAATTATTCGCGATTAAGACACCCCCATTGCAATAAATATTCGAGTTCATTTATTTCCGGCAAACATTTTGTCAAAATCAATACCATAATTTCAGACAAAGAACTGTATTTCATTTAAATGCGTCATTTGTGTTTTAAATGTTAAAAAAATAATGGTTCAGTCCACCAAGAGAATAAATTCATCAAAATGTGCACAGGGTCTTACCAATTTTGGTGGTGTAATCGATAGCCCCGAAGATTAATTCAGGTGCCCGATAATAGCGACTGCATATGTAAGATACATTTGGTTCACCACGAATGAGATGCTTGGCTGATCCAAAGTCACAGAGCTTCAAAACCCCAGTCTCTGGATCGAGTAAAAGATTCTGGGGTTTAATGTCCCTGTGACAGATGCCCAGCGAATGAATGTATGCCAGAGAACGGAACAGTTGGTACATGTATAACTGAAAGGCAAAATTATTGCATTAGTGGTCAGTTACACCCACCTGATCATCAGGAATTTCAATCGTTTGATTAACGCGAGCTGTTGGTTCCTCGTTAAAACACTTGGAATTTTTAATGAGAAAAAAATCATAAGCCAACAAAAAATGTTTTGGCTTTTACGTTAAATCCTCGTAAAGTCGCTCATTAACGAGACGATCTAATGACCCAGATGTGATATTTCAATCAGAGACTCTTTAGTTCCCCATTGAGCTCGACAATAGCGAATTCTAAAATTAAACTCGACAAAAAAATAATAATCATTAAAGAACGCTGAGCACTTGGTGGTTATTTTTATTTATTGAAAAGCCACCCCCGTGATGGGCGAAGTTAATTAATTGTTCTTGGGGTTCTTTGATCACTCACTTTGATGAAGCTCATCGGTATCGTTTGCTTGCTCTTGCTGTAGTGCCGTGCAACTTTGTACACAGTCTCAGGTATGTATTCCAGCACGAGATTGAGATAGACTTCATCCTTCTAGAAGCAAATGCCACCAAGAAACAATATTAACGATTACATTTTCGACACAATTGATCAAAGAATTCAGGGGTGAAGTGGCATAACGAGTGGGCGGAAATTCTATTGGATTTCTATTGGAATCTATTCGTACAATTTCCTCGACTCAATTTTTTTATTGAGATTTTTAATTGATGCATTTGTCAACTGAAAGGGAAAAAAGTTGAGAAAATCTTGGAAAATTTATAGCGAGGAATTCTTATAGTAAATATCTCAATGAAAAAATTAAATTCTACTGATTTTTTCTATAAGAGTAGCTATTGGGCATTTGCTATGAAAAATATAGAAAATCCATGTCGAATTTCTACATAAAATATCTCAATAAAAAAATTGTATAGAAAGATGAAATTCTACTGTTTCGCACAGTACAGATACAGAATTGTTCACCAGAATCGGCCGAAAATTACCAGAATTTTAATTGACGTTAAAATTGAGACAATTTCAAAGAATTCGTAATTGACTCGTCACCCGCAATTCCCCACTTCACAACTGAATCATCCAACTGCATTACGATGAGGAAAATGTGGTATATTCGATCTTCAACGATCGCGAGTAATCCTTGAAGAAACAACTAGGACTATGAATGAATTCTACCAAAGCCACTCCTACACTTCCCCCGACCATTCATCTCGTCCCACTTCCATTCTCTCCATCACTTGAAAAAAAATGTAGCGCCTGAGCTTCTTCTACTTTCTCCATCACAGTAATAAAAAAATCAAGCACATGAGGCTGTTGTAAAGATGATCGTTGGCAAAGGGAATTGATAAAATTCACTCAAATATGAAAACCGAAAAAGAACTAGCACTGGGTACGTCTCCAACTTACGGACACATGAAAAACTGCATTAGTCGCATTTAAGATGTTCTACGAAAGGACAAAACAACAATAGTGCATGCATTAATCTAACAGTTTCGTAACATTTCTTTTGTTTTCACTAATTTCTACGGATCAATTGCAACGAGTGCTAGATTATCCACGCGTTGAGAACAATTATCGTCGTGCATGGGAATTGACAAATTTCAATTGATCATTAACGTATTGACAGTTGTGTGCTAGACAATAGATCATTCAAGAGGAAACGATTATGTCTAATGGTTGAGTGGAGGTGTGGCTAAACGAGATAAAGGAATGTTATCTGACTTTTAAAGATTTTTTTTAAAGATTTGTGATTAATATTTTGGAAATTTTTTTTTTAATTCTCAGAATTCTCAAATTCTGAGATATCAAAAAATGAATTACAAAGTTGATTTTTTCATTTTATTTCACTACGAAATTAATTTTTGAGGATCATCTGTCTTAAATACTTTGATTTTTTCACAAAATTTGCATTGAATTCATTTTTTAAATGAAAAGTCATCGACATTCTCATTTTTGTATTTAATTCCACTATCCATTTTGTCAATATGAGATTAATTCTTTCTGGAATAGTGAGATTCAATGGGATTTTAAATTTTTGAGCGACAGGAAAACCAGAAATTACGTTAAATTATAAATTGATAAAAAATTGAAGAATTCATGGCATTTCATGGAATAATTGTATTGAAATTTAAATTTCACTAGAACTGTTTTCGTCAAATCATGAATTTTCAGTGACGAAATTCGAGAACCTCCAAAAACTGAAACCCAAATGAAACTCACTCCATCGTTCTACCACTCCCCAACCCAATCGTAAAACGTGTTTTGCGTAGGTAATAATTGGATTAATGGGATCGAATTACCTTATCACCGCTCGAGTAGAAGAAGTATTTGAGTTTTACGATGTTACAATGCTCAAGTCGTCGCATTATTTGGAGTTCTCTATTCTGAAATGGTAAATAAAATAATTTTCCATTAGGTTTTTACTATTTCACTCTTCGTGGGGTTGCATTCAATTGCTTCATGAATATGATAAATAGTGTCTTCTTATCGCTCATTCCCTGACTTTTTGCGAGCCAGGAGGAAAATTATGGTCAACTCATCCTCACAGAGCCTCAACCAGAATTCGCGATTTAGAGGACAATAATTACGACTAATTAATTAAACAATTGATTAATTCTGCTTCCAATTGAAGATTTCCCCTTGAAACATCTCTTCTTGTTAAATAAATTTACGTCTTTGCAATTGAATGCTCTGCAGGTGTTTTGAAAAATCGTTTATTGACGAAAATAAGTGAATGTCATTGATACAAACCTTGAACCTCTTATCCTGAAGAACTTTTTTGATTGCCACCATCTCGCCAGTGTCGCACAGTTTGGCCTGGTAAACAACCCCGAAGCTGCCATTGCCAATGACCTTAGTATCGGTATAGGCAACCTCCTGTGGATGATCTGGCCTAGCACCAGGTGTGGCCACTACCGTTGTCACTTTGCTCCCATCCCTACCTGCAGTGTACATGGTACCACCCATAGAAAATAATGTTCAAGAGACAGACCGAATTCTACATTGTTTCAATATTGAAAAATAAAAATGGCCGGCGGAAAATAATGAGGTGTAATAATAGACAATTTAATGGCATTTCGAGGAATTTAAAATTACGAGGTTTGTGTGGAAGTTTGTAAGGATTCCGATGATTACAGGTGAAGCACATCAATGTCGGGAGTATATCTGTTTCCCTGGACTGTTGTGTTGTCGACGAGGTTTGACATCTAAGTTATTCATCAATTTGTCCGGGTTTGTTTATTCATGCCCAGGGCCGCTCAGGCCGCGGACATGAATTTAAGGATTTTTGTATTTTCGTTTTTGCCTTTTCTTCTCGTTTTCATTTCGGGGAGAGGAGGGATAGAGTCGGGCCAAGGTATTAAACTTGTGGATGGCTAGTTATCTTGCTTCAGGTTTGGAGACGTTTTGCAATCAATTCCCTTGTTTAAACTGAATTCAATAATTCGAGGATTGACGAAAATTTCGAGTCGAATTTTTGTGGAAATTCAATCGTTTACGCTTGAAAATCATTAATTATCGCAATAACGAGTGATTTTAGGGAAAAATATCAGAAAATATTTTTCGGTGGAAATTTTATGAGCTACAAAAAAGGTCTGAATATATTTTTCTCTTAAACAACGTATTTCCGAGATAATCGAAGAATTATCAAAAATGTCAAATTAGACTATTTCCAAAATTTAATACTTTACTCTTGAAAAACATCAATTAGGCTAGCAACGAGTGATTTTAGAGGAAAATATCAGAAAATATTTTTTGCTGGAAATTTCCTGAGCTAAAATTAAGGTCTAGACATATTTTTTTCTCAAACAACTTATTCCCGAGATAATCGAAGAATTACCAAAATGTCAAATTAAACTCCTTCCAAAATTTAAGATTTTACTCTTGAAAAACATCAATTATGCTAATAACGAGCGATATTATAGGAAAATATTATAATATATAATATAGGGAAAATTAGTCCCACAAAAGTGACCTCTGGAAAAAGTTCCGAGAATAATTGCCCTGAAATTTACAAATTTCATTGAGACGTGGTAAAAATATCAGTCAAAATTTTGAACAGTAATTCCACGAAGACTGACCCCTGGAAAATGTTTTCCTCCCCTTCATCAAATCCCACTGGACAATCGGAAGAAACTAACTCCAGGCCATGCGTGACCAATAGTAATAAACTCTACCACATCCGAGTGGATCGATAAACAATGGCATCAGCGCACGGTAAAATTGACGAATAAAATGACCCAATGATCTCGCCATCCTTCATGTGCGTGAATTCACAATCGGCAAACCGAGTGAATCTCATTACCATAGTGAACAGGTACGATGAGACGTAGGATTTTTTAGACAGTCGTCAAGTGGATTGTAAAATAAGTAAATGCGCTGGCGCGAGCGCGGGCGCAGCACGAGTTTCGCCGCTGATAACTACAAAAATGGAAATGTTGACGGAAAAAAAAAACAAAATTCCAAAACCTCGAGGGGAATTTAAAAAAAATGCGCGACAATTTTAACCGACGAAATGTGCAGTATCACGCGATGCAACATCTGTCGTGATACAGTTCTCATGGGCACAGATCGACGATTATTTTTCCTGATAGCGAATATAATTCATTCACGGATGATAAAAATGGAGAGTCAAAGACACTGCCTCATGCGTCGATACGAAATAGAGATACAGCCAATGAAGTGCGTCGATGTGCACTCAAAAATAAAAAGATTTATTTATAAAGTGTCGTAAGAGTTAACTGACGTGACGTTCGCGCACCAGTTCAGGGACGTGGGTTTGCCAAAGGGGCGTTTGGGTGGGGGGGGAGGGCTTGTTCAGCCCCTCACGCTGAGTCCAAAATGAATATTAATATTTTTTTTTCAATGAAAAAATCAGGAAAAATGTCATGCAACTGCTGAGTAAACAATTCATTGGGAGGGAGAGGAATTGGACAATTTTCAGTGAAGACGAAATGTTTTTAAATGCGTTCGAAAGTCAATTGTCATTAGTTTTCTGGGGGAATCCTCGGGGTTTAATGGAGACAGTGGAATTCACTTGGGAGATCTTTCTGTGGAGATTGAGAACTACGAAAAAGTAATTAATTAAGTTTTGAGGTAGCCTTTGCAGTCCAAGACGTTTAATTGAAGTTGAAGTTTTCTAGCGTTTATTTTGGAGCTGAAGATGAATTTGTGATCGATTTTTTGGGAATATCTGGCTCTCCGAGGGCGATCACGAAAATTTTGTCAAGATCTTTTTTGTGGAGTGGAAAAAGATCTGCAAAAAACGTCTGAACGAAATTTTCGTTATCCCCGTTGCATTCCGAGATACCAAACAAAACCTGAAATGTTCTGGAGTTCATGTTCAAGGAGAATCCCACATCGTTCAGAACATTTCCAAGAGTTCCTTGCGGCAAACCAGACACTCCTAAATCATCAATATCTCCCGAGGCAATGGTGCAATCAGGCTGACTCACGTCTCACTTCAAATCCCCAAAAAACGTCTCGAAAATGAAAAAAAAATTGAATTCCCCTCTGTCGATCTCGAGTTACTGTCGCTTAAAACCGCCTCAATTTAATTTGCAATAATTTTCGTAAAATCCAGGATTAATCTTGAAAGCTCTGCAGATCTCTTCAAAATAAACTAAAAAAGCTCCACAATCTCCCCGAACTCCCGAGACCTAAAAGCTCACCTTCAACTGGATTCATCCTGTCGAATCACTTCACAAGTCCCCAAAAAATTCCACATTTTCCACCGTTAAACCCCCCTAACCCCTCACCCCCCGGGATCCTCCGCGACCCGAAAAAGCCCCCAGAACCTTGGAAACCACCTCTCGCACCGAAAACAGCCCTCAAATCCCTCCCAAAAAATTCTAGGTTATGAAATAGACGTGATAATCCATAGTACTACTCACTGCTGATCTTCATGCCACCCAGGGGCGGATTAGCGGGGGGCTTGGTGCCCTCGGCAAACGAAGTGGTCCTCGGACGGCCGCTCATGATAAATCGCCAGCCACCTCCACCTTAGCCGGCACCTGAGCCGCCACCACCTCGATTCCTCCCCTCACACTGACCCCCAAAGTCCCCAAAAAAGTCCCCTCTAGCCCCCCAAAAAGCCCGGAAAATTCGCTCCGAAAGCCCCTGGATCCTCACCAAAACGCAACACCTCTCCCTCCTCCCTCCAAAACTATAAACTGTGCACTCTCCCAGTGATAAACGTCACGAACATCAATGACAACCAATATCACATCGCTCCAATGTCTCAATTAACGCCTCTTGCACGCTCAGACTCGGTCGGTAATTAAAATCCCCCGAAATAAATCCCCCCGTGAGAAAAAAAAAAAATCCCTCAGATAAAACGTTCTCCTATGGCCCTGGAGCCTCTCCCCCCTGGCCCCTCACCCGCGGGTAATCCTATCCTCCAGGTAACTCCACTTATCAACAATTCTGCCCCTCGATGTTGACGGGGCAATGATGCGTCCCGCTTCTTCCTCGTCGTCGTGGCTGCCGTCTTTACGGTTTAATCCTGCGCCCTCTCCTCACCCACCACTCGTACCAATTACCAATTACCACGCACTTGCACTCATTCACCTGATCACCAAACTCGACACCACTCGGGGGGGTGGGGAACACTCTCGATAACTTGATCAGCCGAGAAATAGAAAATTTCTTCACTTTTTCGGGGGGTTTTTTTTTTTTCGAGTGTGTGAGAGAAAAAAATGAGGAGTTGAGCCCGACGTTTTCAGAACGGCCAGTAGTAACACGAGGCGCGCACGGGCAAAACGACACGACGGATTATATAGCACACCACCAGTCGACGATCTCTCTGTTCTCCATGTAACTCCGGAATTTATTGTTCAGAATTTTTGGGAATGACAGGAATACTCGGGGCACTGTCTCCGGCCGATGGGGATGACTCGTTTTTTTTTTCGAGATTTGCGGGTGCACCGGGCGCTGGGGAAGTCGGAAATGTTCGATGGAGGTTGATAATTTCGAGGGGTTTAGTCTTGGCTCCGTGGAGATGTGGCTGCAGTGTACATTGCGCACACCATTTTCCCGCGGGGGCGACGGAACGGCCTCACGGCGTTGACGACGTGTGGGCGGCGTCGCGAACCTCACGAATCCGCTGTTTTCAGCTCCAACGGGAGCTCGTCGGTTGAAAAAAGGTGTCGGCAATTTTTTAGTCACTTTTTGGTTTGACACACACGGGGGATTTCACTGCACTACCGGACTCGAGGGGGGGGGGGAATCTCCCGGTCGGGGCGTTAGTCGCGGGGGAGGGGTTCCGGTGACACCGATTCACCCGATAGATGCTGGCGTTTTTCTTAGGTCGGGAGTTTTCCGAAATGTTCTTTTAACGAAGTCGATTCTTGGATACGGGAACAGCACACCGCAGGCCACAGATTTTTCCGATGCCTCCGCTCCTCAGACATTGACCCGTTCGGGAGAGATCGGCGGCACTCGGGGGGAGGCGGAAGTGCACGAGTGTGACGTCAAACTCACCACCGCACCTACTCCCCTTGTCCTGTTTTGCGGGTCTTCGGGGGGAATTTTTTTTCGCGGGGGGGCGCCAGAGGGCGGGGCAGTCGTTCTCCTCGAGAGCGCCACGGAGGGGAGGGTTGGGTGGGGAGCGATTTCATTGGTCGCTGGTAACTTCAAGAGGAAAAACGGAAAAATCGCGTTTTCATTTCTGTTGAAATGTTCGGGGGAGAATATTTCTGTAGACGAAGATTTCTGGGAGACATGAGAAAATTCCTTCCTTCGAATTAATGATTCTCATAATTTTTTGAGTGGAGAGTCGTTCGAGTTCATATCATTTTCGCGGGAAAACATGCCTTCCACTCACGAGGCCTATCTGCGCATGCGCGTGGCCTTGTGATGCTCGTAGCACAAGGGTCGTGACCCTTGTGACCCTCGTAACCCTTGTGAAAGCTGCTTATACACCATTCGTCGGTAAAACAAATATTTGGTTGCCTGATGATTATATCGCGTTCTAGCACAGAATTATAAATAAATATTTCTAATAAAATTATCCCCATGAGAATTATGACATTCATATTTTCAATGTCAACAATGAACAGTAAAAAAAAACATGTCGGCATTCAAAAAACTTGAATAATTCTTTTATCAATAAAATTTTATTTCCCATTGAATAAAAAAATCTTCAAAGTGCGAAAAAAATTATGGAACTCCACGCGGAATAAAAACAATTAATTAGCCCTATGATGAAAAAAATCAACATAAAATTTTGATAATAGCTTGTCCTGACCCTCACCCTCCGTCGATACAGAGACCCCTCCCCTTACCGACCGCTCGTACCCCCTCCCCGCCATCTCGCGGTCATAACCCCCACCCATAATCCAACAAAATCCTCTCCGCGAGATCGTGTGTTTCTCACGCTCGTCCGAAGAAGCGCGGGCTGGCGTTCGAAGTTGTAGTTTGGAAGGCACGCGCTACGCATCAACTCGTATCCCGCCAAGAATCCCCAACCGGACTCTCCCACAACCGATTGTTTACCAAAAATTCTCGCGCATCCATGGATTCAGTGTGACCCCAGTGCTCAGTTACCCCCGAAATAATAAGTTCGTCGACTAGTGACAGTATATAATTGTGAAAATTTATCCCTTGGACGTGAGAGTGAGTATTTTCATCTCTTTAATAATTTAATATCCCGTATTGTTCGAGGTATCGATTTTTTTCCCGTCCCCTCGGGGTAAATAAGACAACACATGCCCCGGAATGAGCGAAATTTCGTGGCTGATACAGAGGATTACGGGACCCACGAAATTATCGCGTGGATGGACGAAAAATTTTCCCTCGAGGCATCTCGGGGACTTACCTGAGCCCCTCTCGCCTCCGAAAATCTCTTGTCCTTTGCGAGAGTGAAGAAAAAAATGCGAGACCTTGAGGGGATTTTCCCCAACCTCTACCTGCCAAAATCTTCACCTGCATTTTCACGATTTAACGGGCATCCCGTTGTGCCTCGGCCTCGGCACGTTTTTCGCATTCACCGCGATCCGCCTCCCCCGTTGCTTTCAAACTACCTGCTCTCATGTGCTCAGGTAAAATGTCTATTGAATCAGTCGAAAAATCGGACAATTTGTTGGGGTCCATTGACCGCGCGGGGTCAAGCCGGGTTTTCTCGGATGCCCAAGGAATTTCGGCGGAGTTTAGGTGCACGAATGAATGAATTTTCCATGTTCAATGCCCCGAAGAAACAAGAAAATTTCATAAAAAACCTAGCGAACTCGCTTGGCAATTTTGTTGTAGTTACATTGTACTTTCCATTAAATTCCGCAAATAAATCTACGCGTTTTTTTTTCGATAAAAATAGTCAGTGGAAAATATTCTATAGAAAAAAGCAGTAGAAAAGCAGTAAAAATCGAATTTTTACATTCAACTTGTTCCGCTGAGATGTGTTCTGCAGAAATTCTTTGGCTGGAATTTTCCATATTTTTGTTTCATGTTTTTCAACGAAAAAAGAAGAAGAAAAAAGAGGAAACAACTTGGGAAATTCCTGTCGAAGAATTTCTGTAAAGTTGGATAAAAGGATGAAATTCTGCGGATTTTTTTCTATAAAATAGTTTCTACTGGAATTATCTTCATAAATAAACGCATTGTACATTTCTGCTGAATTCACTTCCAACTTTTCATCAAATTCCGGCGCTTATCTACGCGTTTTTGTCGATAAAAATTCTCAGCGGAAAATATTCGATAGAAAAAAGCAATAGAGTTAGATTTTTCTATACAATTTATTTCGTTGAGATGTGTTCTACATATAGAAATTCGTCGGCTCAAATTTTTTTCATGAAAAGGGAAGGAAAAAAGAAGAAAAAACTGTAAAATATGAATTAATTCGTAGGAATTGGAATTAAATCCAATTCCTACGAATTAATTCATAATTTCTAATGCAATCCATAAAAATCAATCGTTCACCCTAAAAATAATTCCCTCCGTTCTTTTTCACCATCCGCATTCATTTTTCTTCGTCACAGAAGGAACTGCGGAAATTTCCATAAATACCTTGCAGCTCTCACTGCGCACGAAGAAAGATCCCCCAAAAAAATGGTCATCTCCTTCGGGTCTCAGGATATTGATCAGAGCCTCTCTGACACTCAATTCCTCCGAGAAATAATGCCAAACCGTTCACTTCCCATAATAAAATCCCCCGACAAATAATAATTTCCCTTCGCTACGGTAGATAAAACATTTCATTCCAGAGTTCGAGAGCCGAACAAAGAAAGAATGCGTGCTAAAAAATATTTACATCGTTTTTGGACGGCATTCAATTCACAGAATTCCTCACGGACGTAAATAACTCCCTTTTAAGTACCGAAAAGAACCAAAAAATGATAATCCCCTTTCGACCGGAATTTCAAAGCGAACTTCAGTTTTCATTGAATAAAATTTCGCTCTGACATGTGCATGTGCGAAATGAGCACAAAAATTCAACAACAATGGCATTTTTTGCTGTAATTTTTGGGTCCAGAAATAATTCACTGAAGCAAATAATTCGGGACAATTTATATATAATTCGGGATAATTTATATATCACGATTTCCATACACGATAACCCTCGCTATCCAGTAATGCATCCAATTAAGAGAAATACATTGTAATTCGATGCAGTACGTAGTGGAAGGGATGAACCATTCGAGTAATTTGGCATTTTTAGATAAATTGATGATTGAAAAACACTGACAGCTATAATCAATTAGCTCTAATTAATTATCTCGATAGCAATTGCTTTCAGGGTAAGAAAGAATGTTTTTTTAATCTGTAAACAATCAATTTCACATCATGAAACCATTTATTTATAAAACGGAATACTAAACATAGTTTTTTAGCACAATGACCTTTTATTGCATAAAATTTCACCAACAATGGCGATCATTTCCTCAATTTCGAGCCCAAAAAATAATTCACTGAGCCGAACAATTCCCGACAATTTATATATCATAAACTCCACACAACGACAACACTCATTACCCCCTAATACATCGAATTAGACGAAATACATTGTAATTCAATGTAGTACATAATAAAAGGGAAAAACATTCGAGTAGACAATTTGAGGTGTCACTTAATGGCATTTGAGTACATTGAAGTAGTCTTGAATCTAAAAATCTCGAAAAATGGCGTGCAGAAGTCTTTAAAGATGACAATTGTCTCTAAAGATGATGTCTGTTTTCAATTGCGTTTTTAATATTCTCCCCTGGTTCAAAACCATCTTTAGAGGCCCTAGCAAGCCATTTCTCGACCCGCTCTTTCATTTGAGCCGAAAAAAACATTCATATCTTGTCTGACATCGCTGCTACAAACTCGTGTCTACAACTCGGGCCTTCAATTGAAAACCCAAGTTGAAGACCCGAGTTTGTAGCAAAGATGTCAGACAAGATATGAATGTTTTTTTGGGCTCAAACGAAAGAGCGGGTCGAGAAATGGCGTGCTAGGACCTCTAAAGATGGTTTTGAACCAGGGGAGACTCCTAGACCCCAATGTTCTATACAT